AGATACAGTCCTTGAGGAGAGCCCATTCATGTTTATCTCTAAGCAGAGTGGAGAGTGGGTTTGGCCCTCAGCATGGGATGAGGCATGGAAGTTATGTTGCATTTTGTTCTGACAGGTGAATTCTAATTTGAATTATTGTTTTGTGTCAAAGTGGGCAGATACGTTATTGCATGGGTGCTCAGAGGAGATGAATATCTCTATATCAAGGGTGGGGAACAATGTGTGTGCTTTGACTTGTCCTCCACAGCAGACTATCTCCTGTAACCACAGTAGAAGCATAGAAAGTCTTGAGTCGTGAGCCCTAGTGTGTCAGAGGCTGCATGCATCCAGCAGCCCGTTCTGTGGCCTCTTGCCAGAGTCCTCTAGAAGAGAACATTAGGACTGGTGAATTGCCAGCTCTTAGTTGTACATATCTTTCTCCTGCTCCTTGAAATCAGGATATGATTTCAGGATGGTATAAATCAACTGGTCACTTGAGATAATGGCAAAGTAAAACTGTAACAGGTGCCTGGGACTATTATGCATACCACCCCTATTTTTCCTCCTTCTCTGGAAGCTATTCCCCTGCAAGGTGAGACTTCACGCAAGGATATATCGGTGTGGTCCTGGTTCCTCCTCCCCCGCCCCGGCCCCCAAAAAAGAGAGAGGTTTGCAGCTTTTTTTTTGCGGCAAAACAGCCTGCTCTTTAAAGTATTTTGTCTTAATGGGGCTGGTGGTCCATGCTCATCTCAGCCTTTTGCTCTACTTAAACATTAAAGCCTTTTTTTAAATTATTTTTGTCATTGTTTTTAACTTGGCAGCAACTCTTTCTCTGAGATCAATAGATTTTTCCCCCTCCCTCCTCACTCAAAATTGTCAGAAAGGAAGCATCTCTTGCAGTTTTCTGTGTTTGTGGTAGCTGATGGCTGCTTTGTGATAGAGCAGCTGGGATCCTTTATGACAAGCTGAGATGTCTTCCTGACTGGTACCTCCTTGCTAATTTCCACCACACATAAATGCTTTGGATGGGGAGGCTGGGTAATAATGTCTGCCTCCCCTGCTGGCCTTTGTCTCCAATTAACTATCACTCAAAGACGTATCTTTCACTGCAGTGCTGATCAGAGGATATGGGAAGGGATATGTGACTGATGGTTTTTAGCATCTCGGCCCACCCAAGGGTGGATGAGCTCTCTTCCTCTCTGACAGATGAATCCCTGGTATGGAAGGTGGAGGTGGAGGGAAGAGGATTTGAAGGGGACACAGTTTTATTCTTCACTTGCCTCCTTTTAGGAGGGCATAAGAAATGGGTTTGTCTTCCCATTCCCTCAAAAAGGCAGCAAAAATTGCCTCCTGGGAAATATCAGTAGCGCAACAGCAGAGGGTACTGCAGGGCCAGCTTGTTTTGGCAGGGCTGCAGAGGAGAGCTATGTGCACCAGCCCAGCTCCTCTGAACAGAGGTTGCAATTACTGAGAGGCAACACAGCCGTGTGAGGGCTCAGTTGTGCCTGTGGGTGAAGAGCTGCAGGGCTGAGTGCTGGGCCTGACAGATATTGATGTATGCAAATGTCAAGTGAGGAAAATATGCTTTACTTCCTAAAACCATGTGTCGTACTGTGTGGACATGGCACGCCAGATCCCAGAAAGTGAAGCAGTCTGCTAAATGTCAAGAGTTACGACCTTTGTCTGGGAATTTCACAAGACATGCAGAGCATCTCAGCTCAGCTGTCTGGGAAGGAGATGGGAGATCTGCCTCAGGCGTGCAGCTCCTTCAGTTCTGGTCCTCTGAACTGGGCTGACCCGGGGGAGGCTGCCTGCAGCACACGTGTATATATCCTGCAGAAACTGGAATGAAACCAGCATTGGCTGGCAGCCGGCGGGATTGCCTTTGCGAAGCAAGCTGGGTCCCCACCTGACCGAGGACTTTGCACTTGATGAAGACCAGGTGTCTGGAGGTGTTGTCTCAGAGAAAGCACAAGTTGCCTGATAGGAGATAACTGCCTAGTAATTTACCCATAAAGGATGTTTTCTTCAAAAGGTGTCACTACTAATTTAGGCTCTTTAGCTTCCTTGTACTATTTCCCAAACCTAGGGACTTGTTAGGCTTGTCCCAAACCAGCAGCATGTAAGGAAGAGGCTCTGGGTACTCCTCTGCTCTGCAAGCAACTTCACAGCTCCTACAATAAACAAAGCCTTTACTAAAAAATAACATTTTGCCCTGGACACGATGAGATCCTGTGGAAGGGGGAGGTCTTCAGCAGTGCCTTGAAGAAGAAAATGTTGCAGTGAACCCAGAAGGGCCTTTATGGATTTCAGCATGACACTTGGCCCTCGGGGCAGGCCCGGCAGGGACTTCTTCCTCGGAGGCAGACTGCAGTGCCAGAGGCAGGTGGGTGCAGGAGGTGCATTTCCTCCCCTGGCTGGGCTGACAAGAAGGCAAGACGCAAACCTGGCCCAAGGGCCACGTTGTTGAGGTCCCTGGCCAATGCTGTCCCCACAAAGCCATCGGAAAGGACTCCTGGGGACGTGCTGTGGGTTGTTGGACCCTCAGCTAAGGTTTTGGTGCTGGCCATTTGCACCAGTTCTAGCCACAGACCCCTGAGGCCAGCGTACCCTGCTGGTCTGCTGTCCCACCACAGCAGTGCCCTCGGGAGGCATTTCCAGTCCCCATGACACACCTCTGGTGTTGCCGATCCCATTTGACTGATTTCCAAGCTGTAATCTCAAAGTCTCAAAGGTCTGAGGGGCTCCTGGTGTACTAGAGATACTAAAACTTGCAATAAATATTAACAAAGGCAGCTGCTCCCTACTTTCTCTTCCATGGCAACTCTCAACTTTTCTGCCAGCTCCAGGCTGCTGTCCTCCCCTTGAAGCAAAATAACCTTGTTGCTAAATGCTGAAGTCTTCCATGAACTACTCTGTTTCACGGGGCGGTGCTCATCTGCATGAACTTCAGAGTCTTCTCAGGGCCACCACAGAGCCATGTCCTCATGAAATGCATTGCCCAGGGCAGGAGCAACAAATGAATTGGTGGCCATGTCCTTCAGTTTGGGAGATGGGGCAAGTGGCATAGGGCTAGAATTGAGATTTAAGGGAAGGAAGTCTTGAAAGTCCTTCAGAGACCATTGTACAGAGGACAGTGTTAGCAAACAGTGATACTGCTGAAAGGGGGCCATGAAGTGTCTAGAAATGTCTGCTGCTGAGTTGTAGGGACTAGATGGATCTTTGTGAAGATCCACATGAGTTCTTCTTTGCTTAGTTGCCTTTTGTCCAAGTACTTTACAGCCTTATAGTATAAAAGTCTCTCTGAGTTAATAAGTAAACATGCTTTGTCATATTTCATTTACTGCCCTCGGAAGTATCAGGAGACGACTGTAGGTTTTTTTCCTCTGCTCCTAGCCCTGGGACACGTGTCAGCTCTGAGGAGAGCTGAGCCGGGCGAAACAGGGAGAGCTCAAGTGAAGGGCCTTGGCTTATGCCCTGATGCGGGGCTGTCTGCACCTATCCATGGCTCTCTGGGCAGGATGGTCCCTCACCTCCGTCTACCTCGCATGGAAGTGTCGCCTCACCCTGGCACTAGTGTTTGACAGAGGTTTTTATTAACAACTGTGTGGGATATGCGCAAGAACTTTGGTCCTTGAGGGGGAGGAGGAGCCATATCCTGCCTCCAGAAGTGGCACCTGAAGTGACAGGGTCCCGGTGAGCCATGGAAGCATGTGAGACCTGGTGCGTTTTGGGCAGGTTTCCTTCCTTACGGGGGCTTTCAGGCTTGAGTTGCAGAGGTGGAAGGGGTGGGTCTCTGCGTCTTTGCATGGTTTCATGCTGCAGGTGGGGGAGCGTATAGCCTCCATGTTGCAGAGGGCATTTATGTGATCTGTTCCAACACCCACCTCCTCCCAAAGCTTCCAGTTCTGGCAGATGGGAAACCTTCTTGCCCTAAACAGCAAAACACCTTTTCTTATTTTCCTTGCTGAGGCATTGATTGAGCTTAGAGCTCCTGTCTTTTTTGTTCTTTTTCTTTTGTTCTTTTTCTTCTTTTTTTTTTCTTTTTCATTCTTTTCTTCTTTATTATTTCCTTTCCTTTTGTATTTTTTCTTTTCTTTCCTTCGTGTTTCTTCCTGGCTTGTAGTCTTGAATCACTTTTCCGCCCGACACAGCGCTGCCCTCCCAGCATGGTTTGGAGGAGGGGAGGCGGTGTAGAGACAGAATGGAGGCTGTATTTTTTACTCTTTGGAGAAAAGGCTTGAGCACTGCTGGGCTCTTGCTGGCCTGGCATGGGTCTGTTATCACAGCACAGTATTACCTGCAGAAACTGCTACATATGTATTTTGGCTGCCCCGGTCCAGACTCAAAATGCCTAGCATTTGGTTCATGGAAAACAAAAAGCAAAGGGCAATATCTGGAGACATATGTGACTTCAGAAGGAGAGTAAAAGTGTGGGGTTTTGTATGTTTTTTGTTTGTTTGTTTTTCTGTTCCCATATAGAATCAGGTAGCATTTTCTGGGAGTCAGATTTTTTAGGGTATATGGTGTTCGTAAACTCTGAAAAGATCTGGGAAATGTGGATATTTGCTAGCTTCTGGGAGACTGGCTAATGATCTCAGTCCTTTAAAATATTATACATTGGCCATGTTTTTGGTTGATTCAACTGCTCCTTCTCATACCTATTCCTTTTCCCTCCCCTGCTCCCTCTCATCCTCCTTGTTATCTCTTCATTTTCCCCTCTGCCTCTGGTGGTACAAGACCTGAAGAGGCTGGTGTTTATGGCCACGGCTGTGTGTGGTGATTTCACTAGATTGTGAATCCCTACTTTTCTGCATTTCCCTTCATTCTATGTTGTCACCAGGGCCTTTCTCCTCTTTGTGCAGTTAAAAGGCAGCATCTGATCTGGAAGCAGTTCAACTTGGTGTAAGCTAGACAATACGAAAGACGTGTTGAAGATGGTAGAGGGTGGGGGAAGGTTTTTTTGGAGTCAAGTCTCAAGGAATGCCTCCTGAACTTGAACTAGGCTTGTTGCATTCCCAAACTGTCTTCCTACCGGTGATAATTTTTGTACCTCAGTAGTTGCTGAATATAACTTTTCTCTCATGGCTTTCCCACAGGATGAAGATGAGACGCCATAAGCTCTTTCTGACTCTCTGCATGGCTGGTCTCTGCCTCATCTCCTTCTTGCACTTCCTCAAGGCCCTGTCCTATGTCACCTTCCCCCGGGAGCTAGCGTCACTTAGTCCCAACCTCGTCTCCAGCTTCTTTTGGAACAATGCACCCGTCACACCTCAGGTTAGCCCTGAGCCAGGGGGTGCGGAGTTCCTCCGCACGCCTCTCTATTCCCACTCGCCCTTGCTCCAGCCCTTGTCTCCCAGCAGAGCCAGCGAAGAACTGCACAGAGCTGAGTTTGTGCTGCCAGAAGACACAACAGAATATTTTGTCCGTACCAAAGCTGGTGGTGTTTGCTTTAAACCAGGCACCAAGGTGTTGGAGAAGCCATCGGTGGGAGGGCGGCCCGAGGAGCGAGCGGATGGTGCCGCCTCAGGGCGGCCTGCTCGCAAGCTGCTAAGTGCTGGTGGGACCAAGCGACGCAAGTGGGTAGAGTGTGTTTGCTTGCCAGGGTGGCACGGCCCAAGCTGCGGGGTCCCCACTGTAGTTCAGTACTCCAACCTGCCCACCAAGGACCGCCTCGTGCCACGGGAGATCCCTCGACGGGTCATCAATGCTATCAATGTCAACCATGAGTTCGACTTGCTGGACGTCCGCTTCCATGAGCTGGGGGATGTGGTGGACGCCTTCGTGGTGTGCGAGTCCAACTTCACGGCCTATGGTGAGCCGCGGCCCCTCAAGTTCCGCGAGATGCTCCTCAATGGCTCCTTCGACTACATCCGCCACAAGGTGCTCTATGTCTTCCTGGACCATTTTCCCCCCGGCGGCCGCCAGGATGGCTGGATTGCTGATGACTACCTGCGCACCTTCCTCACTCGAGACGGCATCTCTCGCCTCCGCAATCTGCGCCCAGATGATGTCTTTATCATCGATGATGCTGATGAGATCCCAGCCCGTGATGGGGTGCTCTTCCTCAAACTCTACGATGGCTGGACAGAGCCTTTCGCCTTTCACATGCGGAAGTCACTCTATGGCTTCTTCTGGAAGCAACCAGGCACCTTGGAGGTGGTCTCGGGCTGCACTATGGGGATGCTCCAGGCTGTCTATGCCACCGATGGGATCCGTCTGCGGCGCCGTGAGTATTATACCATGCCTGGTTTCCGGCAGTATGAAAACAGCACAGGACATATCCTGGTGCAGTGGTCACTGGGAAGCCCCCTCCACTTTGCTGGCTGGCACTGCTCCTGGTGTTTCACGCCAGAGGGGATCTACTTTAAACTGGTATCAGCCCAGAATGGGGACTTCCCCCGCTGGGGTGACTATGAGGATAAACGAGACCTCAATTATATTCGGGAGCTGATCCGGACTGGCGGCTGGTTCGATGGCACTACGCAGGAGTATCCTCCCGCCGACCCCAAGGAGCAGATGTACGCTCCCAAGTACCTGCTCAAGAACTACCAGCGGTTCCACTATTTGTTGGAGAACCCCTACCGAAGAGCAGAAGGAGCTGCGTGATGCCACTGGGGCTTGCATAGGAAATTGGAACTTCACAACAAAGGGAAAGATCCGAGTGTTTTGCCAGTTCCTTTCTTTTTTTATTTTCTTTGATTCCAGGTGGGGTGTACCATTTCTTGGGAGTCTCTGCCCCCCTTTCTTCCCTTCTTCCCTTTATTCCAGGGTGATGCTCAGGGAAAGAATTCCTGAGTCGCGTAAAGGGAGGCCTGGGCAAGAAATGGAGAGAAGTTGGGGACCTACTCTGGGAGTAGCATAAAGACCCTACCACATCTCCTAAACCTCTCCTGCTGGCTGGAGAGAATCTTTGCAGCCAGCTGGTGGATTTTCCTCTGCGGGAGGCTGGGAGGATCCCCTGGGGAGAGAGAGGGCAGCTGTTCCTGTCCACCCTCATCCTTTGTGGATCGGAGCAAGCACAGATGTGAGCCTGGGCTGTTCAATGAGTGTGTGAGTCAGCAGGCATAAACCAGTGTGAGTGGTCATGCGTGCAGATGTGTGTCACGGGCATTTTTTGGATGTGTGAATGTGCAAAAGCATCTCAATAAGTGTTTAATTTCTGTATACCTCTGTATTCAAAAACTATTTGGGGGCAGGCAACACCTTTGCTTTGAAGGTGTTCTCCCCAGTACACAGCCTCCTCCCACAGACCCAACGCATTTATCCTGGGCCAGATCTTGGCCTGATGCTCTAACAGCCCTTGAGCAGGGAGATAGAAGTGGAGGAGAAAGCTTATTTTGCTGTTTTTTGTTTGTTTTGATTTGTTTTTTTGTTTTTACTTCTTTTTCACCCATTCCCCCACAACACTACACTGGCTTGGCCTACAGAGCCTGAAGCATCTTTCCTACAATACATGCTTTTTGCAGGGCAAGAATAAGCTGTAGAGGGCTTAATAAGATGGTGGGAGTGTATGTTTACAAGTGCATGGTTTCCTGTGTGCATGAGTGCTAACATGCATGGTTTTGGGATGCATGTGGGCATTTGCTACCAGAACTGGGTGGGGGGAAGGGGACGTAGCTGGGCTTGGGTGCGTGTGTTTCCACAGAGGTCAGAACATGGTGGGATGTGGAAGCTATGGTCTCCATCTAGGCATGGACTGTGTTTCAGATAATGCACAGGAGAAAGCATTGGCTCCACAGACCAGCGTTACACATGTGGGATGGTTGCATGCTGGCCCTGACTGTGTGCAGTCATGCAGACTATACCTGTTACAGGGATGTTGCCTGCATCAGGAGCAGCATGTGCATACTGGCTATTCTTTCTTGCCATGGCATAAATGGAAGGGGAGAGGAGAAAACCAATCAGCCAATGGGTGTTGTGGGGAGATACAAAACATGTCGAGGCATATGAGCCATCTGTCTGCTCTTAGGTTGTGAGGGAGCTTGTGGAGAGAGAGATGGTGAACAGGCTTCCCCTGGGGCCAAGAGGTTGTTTTAGGATGACCAGACAATACAGAGAGGATGGGCAGCCCACACTTGCAGCCTGGACCGTGTGGATGAGGTCATGCAGAGGAGAGAGGAATGGAGACGAAACTGGCTGCAGCTGGTTGGCGAGTGCCTACTCATAGTTTGCCAGTGATGGCCAGTCAGGATTTGGCTTGTCCGTGCCTCAGATTGAATCAGCTCATTGAGGAGGCAGATCCCTGCTTCCACCCTTACCTCCCTTCCTTAGCAGATGGCTTGACAGCGTGCCTGGAGACCGGAATATAGCGGGCAGAGGATGAAAAACACGATGAGCTTGCCCTGTTAGCTTTACAGTGGAAAGACTGGGTCATTTCCAAACAGAGGCATGAGAATCATGTGGAGGAGGAGGAGGAGGAAAATATTTGCCATAAGGAAGAGCGACCCTGACATCAGGTCAGCTGTGCTGAAGCAGAAGGGTTTCCATTGCTCCCTATAGCAAGGCTCCATGTTCTTGTGTTGTCCAGCCTGTTCTCTCCTTTCTGCCTTGTTCCCATTTCTGTATCTTTCTCTCTCTCTCTCCCTCCTATTTCCCTCTCCAGAGAAGTGAAAAACAACAACAAAAATCTATATCTCTAGTTTCTGTCTCAGTCTTATTAGGGAATCAAGCTGAACATCTTCATTTCTGCTCAAACTGATACCAAGTTCATTTTAGCACCTTGCACATCTCACATGCAACAGCAGCTGATTAAAAATACTGAAGGACCCTTTTTCTTTCTTTTCCACTTTTAATTTTTCTACTTCTCATTGCCACTTCTGCTGCCTGCCCTCCACAGGCAGAAAAGCCCCTTCGGGAAGTGAGCAGAGGGTCCAGGAGCCAGAATATCCTTTCCCCAAAGGGAGGTGGTGGCTTCTCTGAATTCAGATTTGCTGATGTGCTAGGAAGGTGGTGCCTGGTCGCAGTCATGGAGGCTTTGTACCAGCTTGCTGCATTAAGTTCTTGTTTATAGAGAGATTATGGAGAAAATAGGACCTAGCTGAGAAAGGAAATGCCTGTAGTAAGAGAGACATGAGCAGGGCATTGAGGCTGCTGCTTGAGGAAAATGTGATTTCCCCAGGGGCGCCGGAGGAGAGACGGATGTGTTAGCACAAAGGATTTAGTAGAAGGTACTTGAGAAGTATAGATTGAAGATGACATTCCTCATTTTTACTGTTAAAAGAGAGCATGAGACCTGCATTCAGACCACTGGCTTTGCCTTATGGCAGTCACACCACAGCAAGTCCAGGACTAGGCCTTGCTGAAGACAGGAAAGAGAAATTGGTGTTTTTAGGAGCACCACAGACCCATGAAGCAGAGGCTGAGATGCCTGTGTGCTGGGGCTGCCTCTTGTAATTGCATCAAGGAAGATGCTATGTGCCTGGGAGCAGCCTCTCCCTTGACACCAGCCCTTCCAGTGCATGAGCTTCCTTGGGTATTTTTAGTGTCCTACAAGTCATGTTTTCGGCACTGGACTTGCCTCTTAAGACTTTCAGTCGAGCTCACAGCTGCAATATCTGGATCTCCTGCTCCTCAAGCACAGCTTGTTCCCTCCTCTCTCCTTCCTTATTTGCTCCATAGTCCTTCCCTCTCTGAGGTTCTGCTATCCCCCAGGCAAGAGGAAAGGTCCCACTGGAACGGGGTAAAAACAGTATTGGAACTCTTCTGTGTCATGGCCTGGCTCAGTGTCCCTCCTGAATTTCCCTGTTTCCTTATTCTTAAGAAATGAAATTTAAAACAGGCTTCTGTTGTGAGGGAAGGAAGGGACTTTACAGATGAAGTGCATTTTTTTTTCTCAAGAATCGTTTAAATATTTTTGGTTTAAGGCCAAACCAGTCAATGTTTCTGTTGTCTCATTTATCTGGCTAACCCTGTGTTTAATATCTTTAGGGAAACAGAGTGCCTGTCATTAAAAAAATCTCCCTTGTCCCTTGGACGGTGGGGACTTGCAAGCTGGCTTTTGCACATTGTTTTCCCAAGGAGGTGGCTTGCCCTCTGTCCAGCCTTTGCATGCACTGCTTAACCCAGGCCCTCGGTGTCTGTGCTCAGACGGGAGGCAGCAAGGTCGGAGCCATCCTCCACGGAAAGGAATCCCGAGTGGGTGCATGGGGTGGTGAGAGGCGCAGAGAAAGGAGGCAGGTTTGTGTTGTACTCTGACCCTCGTTTCCCTGCCCCGAGCCCTTTGGGGTGAGCGCTGCGGCCCTTTGATCTTGTCGGAAGCTGAGTCTGGAGAAGGGCCGGGATTAGAAAGCGCGAACGTGCCCGCCGCGCGCTGGGTTTGTGCGCCGGAGCTGCTGAGGTGGGCGGCAGCCGCCTCTCCCGCTACAAGGTGGCGCGCGGAGGGGTGGGCAGGCCTCTCCCTGCAGGCCGCTTCAGCTTGACAGCTCCTGCCGCTTGTTCCCGGGAATCTTTCCGCCTTCGAATTAAGTGCTGCAGGGGAGGGCTGGAGAGCAGCACGTGGCATCCCGGAGCCCTGCACTCCTCTCTTGCTCTGCCTGCCTCATCTCACCGGCCTTGCTAGCGAAGCTGCTTCGCTTTCTTTCCCGCTAGCACGGGTTAGGTGTGCAGGCATGGGCAGGACATGGGCTTTGGTGGACCGTACGGCCTCCAGGTGACTCATGAGGTGTCCGAACAGAACGAGTAGCAATGTTTCCCCAGTTAGTCTCTCTAGGTGTATCCGTGTGGGGTTGTAGTGTCTTTTCCCCTCCCCAAACCACGCCAGGCTGTGTCCCCATCTCCCTGCAATCTCTGTGGCTGCTATGCCTCCGCACTGTGAAGACACTAGTCCAGGGTCCGCCCTGGTCCTCTTAGTGAACACTGGTGGTTAAGAGGGAAAGAAAGGCTTGTCCTGCCTTCATTGACCTCAAAACTTAGTGAGAAAGGAAGGAAGTGCCCAGGAGACTGGATCCTGAGTCCCCTCATCATTGTGCCCACCCCGCCAAACCCCTCTTGAGAGCCGAGAGGAGCAGGAGGTAAGAGGGTGGCAGGGGCCACTCAGATCCAGTGTTGAGAAAGGAGAGGTTTTTCTACCGCAATACACTGACAATTAAGGCTTTGGAGACTACACATAATGGCTGAAGAAGGGATCTGAAATACTCTAAAGCTAAGAATATCAACCACTGTTTTTGTTCTTGTTTTTCTTTCCTTCCTGTGAGGATGATGATGCAGTATCATCCTGGGGGTGATCCAGCAGCACTTCCTAGACCAAGTCCACCTGGTCCCACTAATTGTGTTGCTCCTGGGGTGGCCCAAAAACACCCTGTTTTGGCAAAAGAGTGTGTGAACTTGCCAAAAAAATAAAAAATAAAAGAAGGCAGCTTCAAAGCTCCCTTTAACTCTGTAATTTATAAGCAGCAAGTAATAATGATTTTTTTGTAAGGATAAATCAAATGTACATTCTGAAATCATTTTCTCTGTAAATGGTTGGATTTCATTTCACCCTTAAAGGGATGCTTAAAAGAAGGACAATAATAATAAAAATAAAAATAATAAAAAAAACAAAGGATGAAAGGAAAACAGCATGTGTGTGTGACGAGTTTTATTTCTAGTCATCTGTCAAAAGAACCACTGGCAAATGGAATGAGGGAAGTTGTTGCTTCCTGCTGGTTTGGGGTTTTGGTGCCTCTTCTCTTTCCTCTGGTACAAACAGAATCATCCTCATTTTGTGGGTCCGAATCAGACCTAATCTTCTGCATGTTATGGGAGTATGAGTGTATATGGGCAGGCTTAAGGGCAAAACTGGCTGCCCTGTTGCTCTTTGCTGAGAGAGGAAGAAGAGGTGGATGTGGGAGCCAACTTCACCACTCAGGAGATGGTTCCTCACCACCAGCTCCTTCCTTCTCCTTTCCAGTGCCTGTTTTTTCACATAGAGCTGTGGACACCCAAATTATCCCCTACCCTTCCCCTGAGGACATTTCCCTATACTGGTTGACTTCCTCTATGAGGTATGAGAAAACATATCTTCCTTCCCTCCTTGGGAGCTATTCCTATGGCTCAGTATCAAAATCCAGTCCTACTCTGAATCCTTTTGCCATCTACAAATATTTCATTTTTATCTTTCTGAGTGTTTTTCACTTCAGGTTCATTCCTGGTCCCATTTAGAGATGGCGAGTGCAAACATTTAAGGTGAGCTTCCTTATAATCATTACTTC